AAAATTTGAGGGGAATTTTTGGATGCAAAAGTTACCAACTACTCAAGATGAACTTTGGCCAGGACATATTGGCTAAACACTTAGTCTCAAAAAAAAAAAAAAAAGGCTCAGGGATCTTTTCAAAAAGCAGTTTGGGAATGTGGCTTAGTGGTGAAAGGTAGCACCTAAAACCCCCTGCAACAGTGTTGAGAATTGGTTCATTATTGGCTCAGAACAGATCAGAACCTACAGCTCTATCTAACACCAAAAGACTGAATGAAAGGTTCAGGGCAAATCAAAGATTCACCTTACTTGCCCTGGCCATCTTGTTGTAACTTTGATAAGATCATGGCATGAAGTTCGGTAATAACTTCAGACTGTATATTCACAACTTGTGGCTTTATAACTGAAAAAGGTACTTTCAAATAAGTATGAGAAAGAGGATAGTGCACTAACAACTGAACATATTACCTGGATACTTTTAGTGACTATCAAAAGTTAATAGATAAATCAATAATGACATCTACTTAATACTCCACCATTAAGAGGGATGGGAAACAAGTGAAAGGCTAGCCATTCTCACCAGAGTCAAAATAAACCTGTACTAGGTGAATCTGAAAACAAGCAGGTTAAAACAACAGTCCTGAGAGAGAGACGCTAAGTTTGGTACAAACCCAGGCGCCTGCCCCTGCAATCAACGGAAAGCACCAGAATTTCACTGATGCGAACACCGATAGCATCAAAAACTTACAAAAGGTAACCGTGAACTCAAACCGACTCCACAGTGGTGAAGAGGAATCAAATGAAAAAGTAATGGTCCCAAACTGCCCTTTTAGCCCATCCACAAACATGACAGGGAAACTAAAAGTGACAAATACGATTTTCATCACCTGCTTGCCAATACTCGAGAGTTTACAACACAGGCATATTAGGGACATAAAAAAACGCTGTACAGGGGGCTGGCCCCCATCCAGTTCAGCATCCTTCCCTCAACATGCAGACAGGGAATAACCTGCCTTTCCACGCTGGGTCTCACCCTGACCTCTACCAGCTAGAGGCCAGCGCAGGCCACCCAGCAGGGGCTTAGCGCTCTCTTCCAAGGCAGGGTTTATTGTTCTCCAAATGGAGCAACTGCGGATGCACTCGTTATCACCTGGAAACAGCGAGCCCTTCCTGCGCGGGAGTCCCGGGCCTCGGGCGCCTCGTGGGGCAGGCGCCCAGCTCCCCGGGCTGCTCGGGGCAGGCGCCCGGGCTGCTTGAAGGCGGCACGAAAAGAAAGCGGTTGTTTTTCCGGCTGCGAGTGCTCTGCCCCAAAGCCCCCGGCTCTCACGGGGCGGGCCAGGAAAAGCGGGAAGAGCGAGTCCTTTGCCCCCCGCGAGCAGACGGGCTGTCCCTGAACTTCGCCACGCGTCCCCCCCCCCGGCCCTCGGCCCCCCCCCGGGGC